AATAGATAGAGAAAAAGTGAATAGAGAATAGAGGAATAGAAACTCGGAGAGGGAAATATAGGTATCACACAGCTGCACTGAAACTTTATCGACGAATTATTGTTATTTAGGTTTGCGGAAATCGTCAGATTATATATTTTTCGTTATCATTGAATTATTTCCTTCAAAATAAAATACTAGCTACGCTCGAGAATGTCGAATTGACGTTATTTTTTACAACTTTGCTGCCCTTCTCTTTCTTTACGTCACTCTCAAATTGTCAGATTACTGAAATATACACTTTTTAGCAGGTAATTAACTCACCATACCTTAATCTGCCGTGCTCGAGAATTTCTGATGATCAATTTTTTTTACTAATCTGATCCTTCATCCCTCACAAGCGGCCTTATATATGGGCTCATATTTGGTGGAGGTACTTAACCGGGTACAAGGTATCCCCCTCTATATTAATCTGCTGCGCTTTAGTTAATCCAGAAATTCCCGCTTGGGCTCCCCTATTATTATCTACGCAGTAGGTTTATGGACTGACACATATCAGAAATCAACTACTCTCGATACAACTGACGATACAACAAACGGAAATCAATAATTTCGAAAAGGCAAATATAATGGGCTCATTTGCCAAATTTTTTCAATTTCATTATTTGAAAGATTATGTTTCAAATAGTACATCTGCAAAAAATCTGAATTTTCACTCTTTATCTTCCCCTTCAAATTAATAGTTGAATGTGGCGTTCACCGAAACGGGGCGTAGTCAAACTTGACGTCACATCAGCCGATTCGGCGACAAGGGAGTGGTGGCGGATAAGCGAAATACATACGTGTACTGAAGCCGTAAGCCGTAGAGAGCAAGTTGTGTGTTGTTTACTACAGTGTATCAACTGCGTGAATATGTAACACATGGTGTTTTCAAATCAGTCAGCAAATGAAACAAAATCCGACGATGGCACCGATTCATAATCTCCAACAACATGCCCGGTTGCCATCGCTCGAAGCTCGTTGCCTGGTGTGACGTTAGGATGTACCGCGGGCAATATCACATTTTCAATTGCTCTTGCTCAGTTGTTAATTAACATAAAAACCGGAAAAATTTGTGGGATACTTGGGAGATGATTTACTTTTATAATATATAATTTTCAATAAAAAACTAAATTAGCCTGAATGATCCCATTGAGGTGGAATGTTCAAGTGTTTATGAACATTGTTTCATGACCTTCAAAATTTACTAGCGACCTGAATCGGCTTTCCATGGGCAGCAGAACATGAACATCTACATTTGTCATATTTGTCACATCTTCTCGTTCATTAAAAATGTTCCCATGCTTAACTGATGAATGACAAGCTTTTGAAGATGTGAGGGATGGAAACTTCGTCATCTAGAAAGTTTTAGAACAGTTTCATAACTATCCAGAACATTCTGAAATATGGTGGAATATTCGTCAATTATTTGAAAATAAGTTCGGAAATACATCCCAGATCATTGAGGAACGAGCAACGAGAATTATATGTTGTGGTAGCCCTCTATTCCCCATCCACAATAAATGTTCCTAATTTTACCTGATAGGCGTGCTTTTGATGATATGAGAGCTAATATTTTCGAGTTCTAAAAAATTCTACAACAGTCCGGAACAATCG